GCTAAAAAGTAAATATTTCATTCGAAAATAAATACGGTTTAGGATTACAAAATTATTTATAATCTTATAAAATATTTCCACGACAAAAAGATAAAAACATGTAAACATAATGCATAACGATTTTCCGTCTGTCCGCTCGACAAAGATCCTAAAGCCAAGCAAGACGAAAAGATGACGATGTAGAAATGTTCATCCAAGATCAGTTTGGGCAGAGAATGCCGAAGGCAAAGCACATAGAACGCAGAGACCAAAATACCCAATGCAATAGAAGTCGTTCAAGAGAGGTCCAAACAAAGGGATGTCAACGGCAAAGATTTCAACGACCTCGATCACCGACTCTTCTCGCGCCAAGTGAGAACGACTAGAAGCACCCTTCCATGAGCTAGACCGGAGAAGAAACCTCTAAATCCAAAACAATAAACGGCGCAAGTTTTCCCTACTAAAAACGTTGGCTAGTACAAAGCTAAATCCAAATCGAAAAACGGCACCGAACACCAATGAACTTACTAGCTCCTCTAATGCACTAAGCAAGGCATACGACCCTAAGCACTAAACCAGCAAACAACTCTAACACCACAACCTCAAGAAGATGACACAGTCGACACCTGGTCCAGAACCACCCAACAAACTAGAGATACATTGAAGCAAACCAAACATATAGCCAAGAAGCAACCACCGGAAGCAAAGCCAAACCTAATGCTACAACACCGCAAGTAACCAAAGGCAGATCAAGGCTCGACGAAGCCAATACCTTCATTCGAGATGCCACAGTGGCCACACAATAGAGGGAGACCGCTGTCCACAGCAAAACCCAACCAAAGAATAACCTAATCGTTGAGGCTAATCACCATCGAAGAGTCAAAATACACCAAACCGACAAACAAAACTCAACATCGAATCCATAAGGTAGAGACTTAGAGACCGAGGCTCCAAAAGCAGAGAGAAAGCGAGAGCCTTCACAAAAGACTCAAACTTCTACATAACAAATGGAGATTCCAAAGACTGAGCCGAACAGGATAGCACGGGAATACATGGTGAAGACAGAGGTCGTTCCTCCGCAAGAAAAATCCGTCCTCGATCGGAAGAGGCTGAGGAGGGAAAGCCAAACGACCAAAGGAAACCGAGCCACGCCGGAGATCCAATCCGGCGATTGGAAAGATGCGAGACCAAAACAAGATGACAAAAGTTTTTGTTTGTTGTTAATATCAAAGCAAATTACAACGAAAGCTTTTCACATGAGTAACAAAAAGATGTTTTCCCCTAGGAGTAACAACTTATTTTACAAAATTAGCAATGTGGTAAAAGTCTCATGATATCATTTTCAAACTGAGAAAATTAAGTAAATGGTAGTGACTTAGTGATCAAAGATTTCGGGAGAAGATAAACTTTTTCTCTGTATTCACGATTTTTATGGAAAATACTTTTGCTTTTATCGAAATAGAACCACGTTTTAGTTAATGAAAAAATCAGTATTCGATGGCTGCACAATATGGAAGACTATTAGGAAACGCCTCCAAAAAGATATTAATGATTGATGACATAATTAGTTAATTACAACTAGGCTTTCAATTCACATGCGTAATTATCCTTTTTATTCAATATTTTATCTAAAGAGAGGAGGATATCTTCGAGCATCCACAATAAAAAATTTTCTATGAGTTTTTATATGGGTTTCTACCTATT